AGTCCCCGAAATGCCTTAAAATGCATATTAGGTCCTAACACACGTTGCCAAGTGATTATTTTGTGTTTAAAAGTCCAAAAAGTATTTTATATGAATATTTCAAAAATCACCCAAAACATGCCTTACTATAGCCTAACCATCGTGAAAAAATCTATAAAAATAAAAAGTCCCCTTACCTTCCCGACAAAGTGCAGCATGTTTTGCGACATAAACTTGCATTTTGAGGCATTACTGGGACTTTTTTTTTGTGCTCTTTTTAGATTTGATGAAAAACATGTAAAAAACAAACTTTTCTGTTTTTTGTTTTTTCAAAGATTGTCATGAACATTTGTCAACCTTTGGCTCACATGACATGCGTAATTAGAATTTTGCAAAAAAAAAAATTAATTCTTTTTGTTTTTCCAAAATGATCTAATTTGATGGGAAACATGCGGACAGCATACAAATATTAAATTTGTTTTTTCAAAAACTTTTATGAAAATGTTTCAACTTGTGACCAACATAACATGCAAAAGTAGTTTTTGGAGAAAATGTTCTATTTTTCAAAATTCTTTAATTTGGTGAGAAGCATGCAAAAAAGATTACTCTTTTGCTCATTAGTCCTTTATATCTCCAGGTACGTTATCAGTTGTCATTATCGGTCTTTGGAAGTAGGAAATTATCTGCCATCGGTAAAAGTTATCATGCATCCTTACCTTAAACACTTGTGTAGTTCACTATTATTGCAGTGTCCTATTCACCTAATGTTGCATATACGCTTCCTTTGCAAGTAAACGAGAAGGTTATGTTGTTTAAGTATTTAATACTTGAACATATGCGACATTTACTTTAAATGTAATAAATCTTTGTAGTTCCAGAAAGCATTACCCTTTGATTACTGTAGTCTAGAAAATGCTGTTGTCATCAGAATCCTAACTTGTGTCCTGAAGAAAGAGATTCTCCTTGTGTTGCTAGTGCAGCACTGCTGTCATGTGAAGTTGTGTGGCACACAGTTTTGCAGCTCCACCCTCACACTGTCAGTTCTACCACTGCAGACACACCTGTTTTGATTTATAAGAAACCTGTTTGTCATCCCTGCTGTGTTTAAGCTCAGAGGTCCCTTCCCCCCTTTTAATTTTGCTTGTATGTTTTGCAACTGATACTCTGTGGAACTTGATTCCTTTACCTGATAGCACTTTTGGGGAGAGTAGGTAAAACCACACCCATATTGTTTCTCCCTACCTGCCATGATGTGGTCTATAACAACTACAGCAAGATGTCTAGAACCTCGAAAGTATAACTGCCAATGCTAACTTGATCTGCCTTCAACCTCTAACAACAGTGTTTTGCTTTACAAAGCTTTGCGGACATATCCTTTAGCATGTGTTGAACTTCAGTTGTCCATTTTTATATATGTAAAGGTTAGATTGATTGACAGTTTCATCTTGGTTGTGGGCTGTGCCTTGTTTGTCCTGTGTAAATGTTTGCTCTCCAGTAAAAGGATGTTAGCAGATGTTGTAGACGAGGTTGTTCATGGACATGTACTCATTTACGCAGCTTGTACTTTAAACCCTTGGCTTCCACATAGATCTGTTTACTGCTCTGTACCCCATTTATTTATTTGTTTTTAAGGCAAATGTATGTGTAATTAGCCAGACACATATGCTACAGTAACAGTTCCTGTGCCACAGCTCCACAGTTAACTGTTAATCGCTGTACAAACATGCAAAAAATGACATCTTTCTCCTTCGTACCTTTTCCTCTTTTATGAACCTTTGTTGGCCGTTCCTGGACTTTCCAAAAGTCAAATTAACATCCCAGAGTCTTTGGTGGGTGACAGTCTTATAGTCGCATTACAACCTGACTAAGGCGTTGCATGGCTTCCTGCCTTCATCGGTTGCCTGGTATACAGTGACTATGAAATTGTGATGTGATGCCATTTCTCTTCACACAAGTATTGTCTTTGTTTACCTCGGACTGAAACAGGCTTTGTTATAACTAATGCTAATGTTCTGAGTAGAAGCTAGTGTTACTCATTGTACACATACACACATACACCACAAAGTATAATGAAGTCGATGTTCTGTGGATCAGCTATGAATGAAAATTCCAAACCCAAGTTAGTTTTAATGGACATTGGCAGTTGAGTTAATCTGCTAAACTGTCTGATCGTCAAGTCATTACTACAGTCTGTCACCATTGTCACAGAGACGTCTTAATTGGATATATTATTTATTATTATACTTATATGGGTTAGGATTTACAGACTGGATTTATAAAGACATATGTACAGTACATATGTGTCTTTATAAATATATATATATGTCTTTATAAATCCAGTCTGTAAATCCTGACCCACATAAATATAATACATGTTATCCTTTCCTTTCTGATTCACCTGCCCACCAAAGGCATTCAATGGAGTTCAAAGCATTGCCGACTATATAGTACACCTGTGCCGACACACAGGTGTCATCTTCTACAAAAACCCATGGTTGAGTGTGCAGGCTGTGAGAAAAGGACAAAACTGGAGTGTTTTCTGTACTATTGTCCAGCCCTGTGACCCACTTTAGGGTTATGACATCTGAGTAAAAACACCGATGAAACTATTGTGGACATGAACATGCAGTACTGTGCAATAGTATTCAATTGTATACATATACCCTGTTTTTTTAACACAGTCAGAACCAAAAAGTTTTTTATTAATTTAAAAATATAAATTTAAATGAACATTTAGCACCGTCTCTGCAAACTGTCGGGTGGGAAACTAGCCCTCTGCCCTGACTAAACAGAACCTACATCCCACATCCTTTTTATACATTACTGAACTTTTTTTGTCAATTTGTCAATGTTTTTGTTTTTGACAAACATTTTATAGCGGTAACAAAAACAAAGACGTACACAGATGTTGCACATAAATATTTAATTATGTTTCATGTCTTAATGACTTTTACATGGTTTTATTATGTATGCTCTGAGACGTGTCTGTGAAGACTGCAGACAGAAGGTCTTTTGTTCTTGAAATATACAATAGAAATCATTCAAAGGAGAAATAAGAGCCATATAAAGTAAAATTGTCTGTCACTGCACTCAAAGCAGACCAAAGAAGTCTGAGGATTAATTTATTGTTGAAATAGTATCATTATATATATATATATATATATATATATATTGTCTTGTTTTTTTAACTTCTCGCTGTGTGTCTTTGTCAGGATGTTGGGCGAATGAAGGTTGAGCTGTTTGCTGATGTTGTCCCAAAGACGGCGGAGAACTTTAGGTGAGGACACTGTCAGACAGGTTTAAATGTCGCATCACAGGTGCAGAAATACAACTGTATTGTAATTAATGAGCGTGCTGACGTGTTACTAACAGTTTCATCATCTCCTACAGGCAGTTCTGCACTGGAGAGTTCAGGTAAGAGCAAATGTGATACTCTCACAGCTGTGACAGCTTCACAAAATTTAACAGGATTTTTAAAAGTTATACTATAATATAACCTGGATATTGTGAAGCCTACTCTATTGCACATATTCACTGGTAATTCTATACAACGGTGTTTTTCCAGTGTGGATTCTACATGTAGACTGCAGGGCTCAACTCTTACCCTGAAAATGTCAGACATCTGATATTTTACCCATTCTAACTCTATTCACAAATTTGCATCACTTACTGGAACATAACATGGAATTTTGAACTGTGGTCTTACATAGGAAGTAGGCATGTTACTGTTGTTAAATTGATCTTTGCACAGGTTTGGTTTTCCTATTTAAAATGTGGTCACATTTGTTTAGTCTCACAGTTAATGACAAATGTTTCTTTGAATCACATTCTGTCATTAGAGTTACTGTGAGGAACTGTGAGTGGGAGGATAAAGGAGGTAACATTATGTTGCAACAACATTTGCAGTTATGGTTAATCATGATTTCAATTAATTAATGATTAATTGAGATAAATTAACATGCCTATAAAAGGCACACACAAATTAATTCTTTATCCTCCACAGAGGCATGCTGGGTATTGAGATGGTATTTTAATCTTAAGGTGGTTTTGTTAAAGGAAAACTTTTTTCCACCCTGATGTTATGTCATTTTCACTGTTGTTTTTTGTTTGTTTGTTTTGTTCTAAACCTCTGCACCACAGGAAGGATGGAGTGCCTATAGGGTTCAAAGGTGCCGCATTCCACAGGTATACAATTGAAATATATGTACATATATATATATAATATTTTAAATCCTAACGTAACATAGATGATACATATTTTAAATAGAAACAACATACATAACATTTTACACACGACCAGTCTGACCAGTTTATCAGCACACAAAGAAAAACTGTTTCAGTGAGACTATCTCAACTAAAGTATTTGTGTAGTTAATGTTTCTCTTTTCATAACTAACTTTTTAAAGTACTTGACTGTTTGTTGACAGAGTGATCAAGGACTTCATGATACAAGGAGGAGATTTTGTGAATGTAAGTACAAGCTGCTGGTCAGTGTTTGGGGACATTCCAGCATACTCTTTTGTTTATATGTAAATCTTTGTTCAGGCCAAACCAAAACAAAGCTCCTCTTGATACAGATGTATTTACAAATGTAGTCAACTCATTTTATATGATAGAATAATAACATGAATTGCAACAACACTACCTGGTAGAGGGTGTGTGAGGGAAAATGTTGGATGCTGTACCTCTGTGAAGGTTATCAGTCGTCCATGTCACCTTGCTGTTGAGCAGAGGACAACTGGAATGTCTTGGTTTCTAGAAGACGTTTTACATCTCGTCCAAAAAGCGTCTTCAGTTCTAACTGACTCCTGGAGTGACTCTATCTGAGGGATACCTGAGGGATCCAGTTGGCTGCGTGCGTTTCTGTTGTGAAAGGTGATAAGGGTCAGTCAGACAGAAAAAAAAGTCAGTTCAGTTTCTGCAAATAAATAAAATTCGATCATAAATAGTTTAGAGCCAGATAGCTACAAAAACTCCCAGTAAACACATTCAATAATGCTCTTGAATCTTTGGTTGTATCAAATCTATAATCCTTATTACATGTCAAACCCATTAACCATGTTACTTTTTAAAATAATTATTATTTCTAGGATTTTAAATGTATAAATTATAATAGTGTGTTAATGTTGACTTGCTCTGAATGGTATTACTTGATTTGATACACAGTTGACCAGATGAACAATTAAAAGAATTAATAAAACAATTCTTTATTTCATGTAATTTTATTTAATAATTATTTCCCACCGTTTGATTACACAAACCTTATGTGGTGGCTGACAAACTAAGCAAGCGGAAAACACTATGGTCTGTCGCCCTCTGGAGGATGAATAATGAATGACATTTTGTGATTAAAAAAGTTCAAGACTTTCAAAGCTTGTGTGTTCTTACTGTATTTCCTTCTGATAAGGGTGACGGCACTGGTATCTGCAGCATCTACAGAGGTCCATTCGCTGATGAAAACTTCAAGATGACACATGCAGCGCCTGGACTGCTCTCTATGGTCTGATCAATCTCTTTATCTAAACAGAAAACATGTACAACCGTTGTGAATATAATGCTGAATGTCAGAATAAATTATTATGTAATAAATCCATACAACAATAATGACCATTAACTGCAATACAAATATGGTGTTGAATGGAACTTTGAAGCTGATGTTTGGGTCAACAATGTCATTTTATATTTCTAAATGATGCTCCGCAGGCCAACAGTGGTCCAGGAACTAACGGCTGCCAGTTTTTCATTACTTGTACAAAATGTGACTGGTTAGATGGGAAGCATGTTGTTTTTGGTGAGTAAGATGACATTATTTAATTATATATTCATTGGATTATGTGTAGAGTTTTAATTGTCACAATGCAATTTTTGCAGGAAAAGTCATTGATGGATTGCTCATAATGAGAAAGATTGAGGTAAAAATACTTTTGTCAATATTCAGTGGGTATAAATATATCTCGTCAATTCTGATCAGTACATCAGTAACACTTTATCAATGTTGATTTGTCTCAAGTTAAAAAAAAGGCTGATTTTGGAAACTTTAGGACTTAAACACAGGCCTGTGGTAGAGGGGTCTCTCTACACAAGCCGCTCTTAAAATGACCAGTTTTTGTTGTAAATATTTTTCTATTTTCTTCTTACAGAATGTTCCCACAGGACCCAACAATAAGCCCAAACTCCCAGTCCTCATTTCACAGTGTGGAGAAATGTGATCAGCCTGTTCACGACCCCAGTGTAAACACAGCAGTGTTCATTTACATCAGTGGTTTAGATCTTTGTCTTCTTAAATCCCTTATTTTACCTGATCTCATGCTTTGTGTTGTTAATCAATAAATCAGTTTTTTCACTCTTTGTAATGGACTTGGATTTCTTCGTACAGTATCAGCCCAAGTGTCAGACCTGATCAGTTTGTTAATGCTCAATCAAAATGCCACCCAGCAGTTAAAAGTGAAACCTAACTTGGCAATGAGACTGTTTGAGCCTCTCCATGTGTCCCTCTTATCATAAGTGCAATGCCTCATGAAGTGCTTCCCACCAATACCACTGTGTGTGTATTACTGAAGGTGTGCCATAAAGACATTACCATACCTCTGCTTTCCCCATCCTGCCAGGTCCACCTTGGTGAATTGTTCAGTCCACGCCTCCCTGTTTCCTACAATGACACCACTGTTAATTTCTTTAAAAAAAAGGCTGACCTGGCATTTTAGTTTTTTGAATGACTAAAATATTTGCTTCAATTTATTAAACATTTCCTTTTATTAACAGACTGAGAAGAAAAATAAAATTAGCATATTCCAGATCCCAGAGGGGAGTGAAGGAAAAGATACTACAGGCTTTGGGAACGAGCTGCTCCAAAACACTGTTGTCCTACCGGCAGAGCTAGATATTTCGATTAAGAGGGCACAAAGATCAATTGGATTTAGACCCAAAATTAAAACATTTTCTGAACACCTAAACTTAATCAAAATATCAGAAAAACAAGCAAAACAATTACCAGAACCTATCACAGACGTGGAAATTAAGACAACAATAAATCACCAGGAATATATGGTTTTCCTGAGGAATACTACTAAACTAAAAATTATTTGAAGTATACATAGACGTAAATCAGGAGACCCTGCAAAGTTATCGTCCAATAAGCCTTCTGTGTGTTGATTATAAAATTCTAACTGCCATCTTAGCTTATTTAAAAAAAAACTGGTATGTGTCAACAGTCTTCTCATCAGCAACATATCAGGCCAGTTTATCTATGCAGATTCTTAGTGGTCTATTTCACAGATGGTGTACTTGAATTGTAAAGAACACTGTGTTCCTAATGCTTTTCCTCCTGGTGTCTTTAGGTTAAAGACAAAGTGCAAAGGCATACACTGTGTAAGGAATCCATCCAGGGATGTGATTCCTGACTGGCTTCAGCAGTGATCCATCACTCTTGGCCTCGGTGGGATGATAAATAGTAGTGAAACTTGTGGTGCAAGACAAGAGAGTCCTTAAAGGCACTTGCTTCACCGCCAATACTTCCTCTGCTGAACTTATGGTTACCTCTGTTCGCCCTAGCCCATCCATACAAATCCAAGCCTCTGCAGCCCCTCCCCCACCCATGCTATCTCTCTCTCTCTCTGTCTCTTACTCGCTTCTGTCCTGGAACGTTCCCTTGGCACAAAAGAATTCATTCACATGTAGACTTACTTCTTATGGAGGCAGGAAG